TCCCTTTTGGCAACTGTGTGCCCTGTTCTTGGACAAGTTGCCGATGTTTGCTAGTGGACTGCTGCAGCAGTGCTGCCAATTTTCATGGAAGGGCACCCTCACGTTCATGTAGCTGGTTAATTACCATCCTATTTACTCACTCTTACTTTTGACAGAGTCAAAACGTGAAGATATTCTTTTCACAGCCAGGCCCAGGCTGGTTCTGGACAATCCCAAATCGATCATGACAAGTGTACGTGTCATCTTGAGCCAAGACTAACATCTTCCAGTGGCAGTGGCAAGGGAATGTGTTGTTTGGTTGAGGGCATTTCAGAGCAGTTTATCATTGTACGCACTTCATGCTGAAGTTTGCTTCACTCACACAAATACTGCCTGGACTTCCTGCCACAGTTTTGTGTGCATTCTGTTGAAAATTACTGACGATAAAAAAACATGCTATTCATTGGCTTTCCCCGGCAGTGGTATGTGAAGTTGAAAATTAAACTTTTTGTAGGCTTGATTTTGTGGAGTTTACTGAAACATCATGATAAAGAAAATTGCCAAAAGCAAACTGACCTATCAGCATTAAGCTCGGTTCGATGGCCACTCCATAGAATTGAAATACATGTAAAAGTGCTCCTCTTTAATCACTCTGAAAACACACTGCACAAAGACTGGTCTGTTATTACTGAAAATTTTCTTTATTTGAAATCCAACTCCCCATTGTCGAAATAGCATAGCACTCACTCTTAATCATTTACTCATTTCATAGGAAAGAATTGCTCTACACATCCTTTTGTAAACCCTTCATAGACATGGTTGCTCCGAAGGACACCTTTTAGTGGGAAATTTGATTTGATCTTTGCCCAGAAATGTTGTTGACAGAAGGGGAGAAATGGAGAGAGAACCTACCGTCTTGGCTTGGCGCGCTGTGCCGCGGTGGGCAGAGGGGGCCAGCTCAGCCCGCCCGGTCTCGGCCAAGCCCTAATGGGTGGGATCTGACATTCGGCTTGATAAATTAATGTAATTAAATTTGCCTTTGGGGAAATGAGTGAATTAAGGGATGCCGTGGTATCATTTTTCTGCTGTCGGGCCAGGGCTGGGGAGTTGGCTCGGGCTCGGGAAGAGACCGAGAGAGGGGTGGAGAGACTTAGATCATTGCGGTCGAAGTTAATGAGCCTTTATTTCAGGAAATGGTGCTTGCGCTTTGCTCCAATGCACAGATGTGGGTCAGCTTAGGCCCAGGGGCTGGTAGCGTTGGCACCTAGAGGGAGACGGTGTCAGTGTTGTTTCACAACAGAGCCACATGATGGTTCGTTCTGCCAGAGGGTTTTGTGTTAGAATTTTAGAATGATGCTGCTGTAGGAAGTGTTAAGGGAGGGAATAGGAGCAGTTAAACCTCAGAACGTGGTCACTCATTGTGAGAGTACCAGTCAAGCACTTCTACTAGCAAAAAAACAGAAATATTTTCAGAGGCTTGGTATTTTTGTCTGGAAGGGAGAGGAGTTGGGATAGCATAGGATTTCCAATCATTCTTCCCCCCAGGTGTATACCTCTTGCTTTCAGCATTCCAAATTGACACAAATCGTTGATTTTCGTCAGCAAATGTTTTCATTTTAAACATTTATTGGAGATCTTGAAATGTGGTTCATTTTCTTCGGAAAATTTCTTGATGTTTTGAATCAATTTCCGTGCATAATAATTTGAATAAATGCAAACTGAGTGAAAAATCATTCCAAAATGATGAAATCTATGTATCTCTCAAGAAAGATAGAGGGTGCGTGTACCCTACACATGCATTCCAAGTAAAAAGATCGGGTATAAACCATGTACAGTGTACATTTCGGCAAACTTGTTTTATTTGTTTAAATCCAATCCAGGTTGACCACAGAAATTGTCCATTTGGTGTTTAATGAATGTATTGATTTTGTTCTCTGCCTATGCCTGGAGGACCCATATAGCATATGATCTGATAAAGGGCAACCTTGGCCAGTGTGCTCCTGGTGTATTCTACCGGTACCTTGTGCCTCCTGTATTCTTCAGCAATACTGTAGAGACCGAGACATGTCTAGTCCTCATTGAGTGAGGTTGCTTGTGGCTAGGAAAGAGGATGTAATAGTTTTTAAGAAATGGTAATAGTAATGGTAATTGTAGGTAATGTATTAAGAAATAGTAATAGTAATGCAATAGTATTAAGAAATAGGTAATAGTAATGTAATAGTATTAAGAAATAGTAAGAGTAATGTAATTGTATTAAGAAATAGTAATATAATAGTATTAAGAGCAATACTTTTGTGATATTTGCTTCAATTACTTGTATGCTGATAAGGAAAGGAAGGCTTACATATGTACATGTAGGATTTATTCCAGTGTAAGCTGTGAAAGATTTGCCAGGAATCAAGAAAGAGAATCTTAAAGTTTAAGACCACATGTAGGCCTACATGTACGTCTACCGGTATATTGAAACTGTGGTTAAAGTTTATGTGAAAAGAGAAACGTTCACATGCAGTGATTAGTGTAAACAGTTCCTTTCGCTTTATGGACAGTCAGCAGTATATGCAAAAGTTTCAGAGAGATTTGAAAATCAGCTTTCTCCAAGAGAGAGGAAAGTTATGTCACCGACGTGGCCAATGTACATTTCATCCAAGTTTGAATGTTGTTGAATATTTATGATTGTGTTTGCATCTCTTGAGCAAGAAGGCAGATCTTTTATTTTTTCTCCTGGTGCACAAACATTGTCACTTTGTTGGGCGAAAGGCTTTTGTCTTAAAATTAATACTGGTTACTTGTGTGAAAAACAATGCTAGACTACAGTATTGTCTTAAAATTAATATTGGTCAATCTTGTGAAAAACAACATAACAGTGAATTGCATGTATGAATTCAGACTTTTTTGAGAAGCATATCAAAAAGAAACAACAGTATTTAAGCATGATTCATTTGGAGTAGAAAAATCCCTAGTATCTTTTAAATTGTATCATGAGCAAGCCCATGAGGCTGTTAAGGAGATTGTATGTTGACTTAGACAACTCACTGCCTGAAGTTTTGTTTTGTTCTGTAATTTCTTTCTATGTGCATGCATGTACATGTATGTACACGTAAAGGCCTACTGTATGTTTTACCTTGTAAAATTCAATGCAATTAAGTGCCAGTTCCCACAACAGCTGTGCCACCTTTAAAACAATTTTTCCTATTCCATAGTAACCACAAAATAGAGTACACATCCTTTGGGTTCTGAGCCGTGTTTACCATCTGTTGTACTACATTTTTTATTGAGTACCGGTACCTTGGTTTTGGTTTTAGTTCCGGTATTTGCGCCAACGAAGTGGTGAGGTCTGATAAAAGCAAACTCAATGCTATGGCACTTGAGGAACTGATAATGTTTCAGTTGTGATATTTTTGGTCTGTGTTGCAATTTATCATCCAGGGTTAGATCAATGCCCATAAATTCGTGTTTGAATTTATATAGAATGCACATGTACATGTACTGGTACATGGACGTATGCCGTAAACAAAATGAATGCAGATGAGACCTTGGAATTTTAGGGGAGTTTCTCTTCCACCTTTTTCTCAACACTGCATAGTACACTTTTGAGTGATTTGAAATATGAGGGCCAATTGGATTCTGGAAAAAAGTGAAAACCCGAAGGTCGTTTTTAACGATGAAGGACATTTTAAGAGAAGAGATCTGTTTGACTTTTTCTCCGTGCATGTGTCATGAAATTGAACTCAAGTGAAAGTATTCAACAGGCTTTAAGATGTATCGGTATGCTTGTCATGGAATTTGTGTAAACCATTTGTTACACTGTGACTTACGTGTACGTTTCACATTGAGACATTTTTTATTTGTGTCTTGTTGAGTGTTTTCCCCTGCCTGCAAAGCTGAATCTGTTTTCCAAATTGTCCAACTGATTTTGTCCATTTTCTGGAAAAACAAAACCTGTTACAACCAGGTTTTTGCGTGGTTTTCTGATATCTCTCCCTCAGGGATTTCATTGAATTGAGTGGGCAAACTGAGAAGCTACAGGGGAAGTCTTGAGTTTGTTATATTCAATATTCATTGACAAAATTTGAATTTTAAAAGTATTAACAATGGAAGGAAAAGATGCTTCATGATTGACCATACCGCACAAGCAAATGTACATGTACATGTAACTCAAGTATCTCTATGAACACTGCTGTCCAAGCATTAGTGAAATGCTGAGTTGAACCTGCAAACATGGGTGGTGTTGAACCACTGTTCCTAAGTTCAAAGGAGCCAGTGATGCAAACATTCTCAAAAAACAGTTGAATTAATTACTCTGTTAAAAAATGTGCATGTTAGTGTATCTTTAAACTTGTCAAAAGACAGCTTGATTATAAGACGGCTCTTTCTTTGATGACATCTCAGTAGCTTGTGTCAGGCACATGCATACATTGTGACACTTTACCGCTGCTTCTGTGAATTTGTTCCGTACAGCCAGCTCAAGTATTGCATCCATCTGTTCTCTGCTTGTCTCACCATGGTATACTGAAGTGGTACACGCATCGTACATGTACAATCAAGTAGTGCTACATGTACATGACGAGCTGTCGTGTTCGATGCTTGATTTGCATTGCAGTCTGTGTCTCAAACGGCAGGGTTTCATTCAGTAGATATTGTGAAAGCTGCAGTGCCAGGCTGTGTCGGTTGGCTTATTAACTGCAGCGATGAAGCTGGTGAACTACCTCGATGGGTTATACCACAGTATCTCTGGGGGTATGAACCATCAGTTCCGATGTAATTTTCGTCAAGTTTTTATCTTCAAGGACTTCAACGTAGGGGGAGGCATTGTCCATGTAGAAAAATAACTAATTTTTTGGTCTCGAATTGCATCTCTATACTTAGAATGCAGAAAACTGCTTTCCTGCTTGAGAGGTCCATTTGTACATGTACGTGAATGCGTTAACCCACCGTTGTGTGGCACCTTGGTCGGGGGCTGTGGGCGCTGTTTGTCAATAATTCATGAATTAATTTTCACCCTATTGTCTTTCATGCACCAGGTGAGCCGCCTGGCTTTATTAGTCCAGCAGAGGGCGCTGCTTCGAATCTGAGTCGCGGGATCAGAATGCATCAGGCATTGTCAGAAACCAGCACAGGTACATGTACTTGTATGCTTCCGAGAAGTAACAGTTTTCTCATCATGTTAACAAAAGTTTGTTAATTTCAGCTTAGTTCTTCTAATCTTGTTGGATTGAAAGTGGAGACTTTAGTTTTCATTTCACTGATTATTTGCTTACAGGCTGGCAACTCCTTGAAAATGTTGAATGTACAGTCATAAAGGATGGAAATAATAATGAAACTGATTTTGAAAATCAGGTTTCAAAGACTGCTAAGATTGTGGATCCCAACTTTGTGTGATACCTCCACTCTGAGGCAATCAATTTCATGTACATGTACAGTACATGTACACCTGTATATCAAAGGAAATGAGATGCCGTCTTCATCAACCAATAACGGCTTGGGGTGCCTGGCTGTAGACCCAGCAAAGAGGAAATCTTTGTGCGAGTGACAAACACTGCTAGGCATGCAAGGTTTCCTTGGAACAGCCAATTTCCTCACTTTTTAACTTGCCATTAGGAAATGAAAACCCTGAACAAAGTCACATGCGATTTGGAAGTTTTTCTCTTTTCCGAATTTCCTCTTGCACGCCTTAGCTGTCTTGTCGATGTACCCGAATACTGTAAATGTTTTTGGGGACTGTGGTGAGTCATACATGTGCATGCATGCACGTTTTTCATCTGAACGAAGAAAGTGTAAAATCAGTCATTTCTGAAATTTTGAAATTGATTCTTGCTATAAGGGTTTTTTTACTGATTAATTATTACAAAAATGGTAATTTTTCAAAGCAGCACTGGACCTTGCTCATTAAAAATACCGTGCTCCTTCCACTAATAACGTCCTGGCATTGAAGCCTCTAAGTCACCAAGTCTCCGGCCTGCATGAACACATGCATAGTGCACTGCTCACATGTACAACTCATCCAGTGGTAATGTAATTGACGTAGTGTTGTTAATTATATTCAGCGCATTGCAAGTATCAACTGGACAGTTGTAGCCTGCCATATGCCGACCGTGCAAATGAATACTGCCATATCAGAGACGTGCATACCAGTAAGATTACAAAATCAATTATCTATCAGGCACAAGACGCTCTGCTCACAATGTGCCTGTATATACACACAGCTGAACTGATAAATGACAGCATGATGTACTCAGCGCATAGTCTCACCACTGCAATTAAAACAAAGGATGCGCATGAACAAGTGGGAATGGTACCTGTGAGAGCAAGTGCCTTGCTGCGTAGCACCTGCTACTGGTCAGTGCGCCACCACGCGTTTGGCTGCATCACATTAGCGAAGCAAAGCGTGAGCATTGGGTTCACATGATCTTTTTATGGTCCGGCATTTTCAGGGGATTGTCGTGGGTATGTTGAAATAATTTTTTTAAAAAGAGAGTTACATGTATATTTTCTGGAGAACTACTCGCACATGTATGATTTAAATGTTGTTTGGAAGAATGTTTTACCCAGGAATACCACAGTTGGATAAAAAGCCCCCAAAAGAAAAAAACTGGTCAAGATATTTTAACATTCAATGAGAACATTGCTCTTCCTTCTAAACCTTCTGACGCGAACACATGTATGATTCCTCTTTGTACTCTGCACTTATTTAAATAATACAGTGCAGTATGGAACAATGCAGGGAGGCTGTAGTTTTGTTTTCACTAAAATCACAACTTTATTATATTCTCATTATTCACTCCGCTAAAAATGTGATGGCACCTTAAGCTACATGTACCTTGTCCATGTTCATTGGTGCACTCCACCTAGAATGACATGTATACAGTACATGTACCGGGGTGAATCTTTAATGCTCTTATAGTGGAGATTTCATCCTTACTAAACCATCCATTCCAAAAAGAAAGAAAAAGGGGTTGGCGCAATCAATATTTTAATATTTCATCCAGGGAGGAAGCATGCTTAGAAAAACAAGTTTCAGCCAATTTTGAATTGTACAGCTGCGCTAAGTCACCCACGTAATGTGATGCCTCTCTTTTCTTTTAGCTTAGTGGTGGTTAGATGACAACAGACAGCGTGGCATGCATAAGGGCAGATCTTCTGCTCCACCAAATATTGATTTGCAAAGTCCTTCTAGAACAAAGCAGTGAAAACACACCCCGAAACCCTGAGCTTTTGTTGCTCAGATAGCTGGAGACAACAGTGGGCTCTGGAAGTGAGGCAACTAGATAATTAATTTTTCGGAGTAACTTCACTCTCCCCTGTAAGTGCTACACTGAGATCCATTACTAATGCCAGCTTTTCCCATCAGTTCTTGTCAAAACTGTTATGAAAAAAAGCCTGCACAGTAGTTTTTTTTGGTGCCTGAGAGGGTTACATTTTTCTAATCACCAACACTTGATATACCCTAAGGGAGCTTTTTTTTCATAATGCATGTGGCATTTGGATTGGATCTACATGTATGCTACAGTTTGCTCCTTTTTTTTCTTTTTCACCTTTTCCCCCAATAGCCGCCCACCATCTGGTTATTGCTATGGTTACAAATATGATGTATGTAACAGCTGAGTCTAACTGCCCCCCCCCAATCTTTTCCCGTGAAGGTAATGCCTCTACAGCTCACGGATTTAATAAAACACAGGGTAGAAACATAATCGTGGGTGTCGCGCCCCAGTGGGTCCAATTATTTTCTCCGCCAGTTCCCGCTTCCAGTTCATGAAGGTACCATCACAATTGAGCCCATATAATTTTATGCTGAGATCAATGCCTCTTAACTTCATGTTTTCTCCCCCCCCCTTCCACCTCGGACTGATTTCCATAACAAAAGGGACTGCTGTCCAATTAACAGATAGTGATGGGCAGGCTACCCTAAAGTACAGTGTTCGACGTCTAGAATTAATTGTGTAGGGTCTCATCATCCCGGTATGCTCCATTCCTGTGCCTGATGACAAACCCATAAAAAAGTCCAGTGATGCTAATCGCCGTCATCATCATCGTTTCTCATCACCAGTATTTCCTGACTCTGTGTGTAGGCCTCATTAAGAATGCGCATCACAACTTATCTATTTGCAGTAGTGTCTCACTGGCAGTACTCATAAACTGATGCATCTTTTTGTAGGTCTGATGTAAAGCTGAAATATGGATGATTTGTGCTTTTGGATTAGACAGAGTAAGACAAGCAAAACCATCATAGCAGAGCGGATGGTCATACATGTAAATTGATGCAAGAAAAGAGTTTGGATAAATTTATTCAATGTACATGTACATGTACATAGAAAGTAATGTACGTGTAGGAAGCAGGTGGTATGGTTGCGATATTTCTACATGGTAACATGTTTACTGTGCTCATTCATAGTAAAATTTGATCAAACAACTTTACATAAACTTATAAAAATTCGACTAAAATATGTTGAAATTACCAATACATTAATTAGATCTGACAGTACTGTGAACGTTTTAAGTTCTGACACAATACAACAGTTTAAAGTAAATTTATTCAAATGAAGTCCATAAACAAAACAGTTCATTATAACTAACAGATTGGTACATTTGTGTCAAAGAGTTTCCTTTATCACTAATCCCTTATGCTAATTTGAAAAAAATGAAGTTTTCTGAACACATTGGAGGAAGATTTCTTGTTAAGATTTTAGATATGACAATGCTTGTCGCTCCCCTGTGCCAATCAAAATATGATTCCAGAGTCAGGGACTGAACGGTAGTAAAAGGTCTGTCACCAACTGTTTTTTATGCCAACAAAGTATATAAAAAGAAACATGTAGATGAGTACAATATCATCAATTGTCTTGTTGGCAGTTAAAAAACTGAATGGTGTTCCATGACTCACTCCCTTTTATGTCTGATTCGTTCCACACCTTCAAATTGTGTCCTGTTTAGTTCATGGAAAAATTATGAAGGTTTGGCTCTTTGCAGTGTTTTAATGAATGTGTATCAAGAAAGAGTCCAGTGGCATTGCCTGAATCATCAAGTGCTTGTCTGATATATTCACATAAATATGTATAATAATCTTGAAGCCGATCAGCTTAATCATGGTAATTTTATAATTACGCGGTGTGTATGTCATTGCAGCTTGTGTTTACCAGTAAGTTTATTTGCATTTCATGGGGCCGGTTGTCCCCTGGTACCAGCCTTGTCGGAAGTGAATAGCGACACCTACCGTCCAGCGGCCATGCAGGCAGGCACAGGGCTCTCCGCTAACGAACCTGGCACGGTGCTGTTCCTCGGCCATCAATAAATCATTACCGCAGTTTGATTGTCAATGTACGGCCGTGCGCTGTCGGCCAGTTTGCGGGATCGTTCACGCGTGCAGATGACAAACTAGACGTGTTGTGTCCTCTTGATTGCTTGGCGTGCCATTAACGCGATAAGTGAGTGGCATACAGATTGCTCTGGCAAATGTCTGCATGTGTGCACCATGTCTCTTCTCAATCTCCTTTTGTTCCCCCTTGCATTACTCTGTTTTAATCCCTTGGCCACATAAAAGCCCTTTTTGTTTATTAACAGGACTGCCTTGGGTATCAGTTTACAGTGTACTAACTGCTTGAAAGGGCTTGCCTTGACTTAGCCAGTTATATTGATGCAGGCAGATTTACTGTCGCTTCCTCGGGAACTCCACTTTTTCTGATGTCCGTCTCAGGAGAGTCATTTATGGTCGATTTCAAAAACACAACTCAGAAATTAAAGAAGGAACTGAACTTCATTTAGTGGAAGATGGTTTTGTAATTTACTGTAGAAGGATGTTGGCTGGTGACAGAGTGGGAGCGGCCCATCGTTCATTTGTGAAATCCTATATCACTACGTTTAAGTTTTTTCAGAGAATGTGTGACCAGGCCTATCAAAATGAATACACTATTCTGCCTGATTGAATAATTTCTCTCTTAATTTAAGTGATTGGGAAAAAAATGTACCCTACTAATCTTGGAGAAGTGGAAAGCATACATGTAGTTTTTATTTGTCATTTTCCATTATAAGTTTTTGCTACATGTAATTATTCACTCAACAAGTTTTTGAAAGACCATTGTGATAACTTGCATGCATTCGTTAATTTGAATTCTACATCAGGTGTAGAAAATTCCTGTGAAACATGTAGATATTCTTTTCAGTACAAGTCGGTAGACATTCACTGCGTTCAGGGGACAAGTTCTTTTGTTAGGGAACTTTGAACCGAGTTGTGGGGACATTCCTGCATCCCCACAACGTTTTCGGTCCCCACAAAATAGGTGAAATGTCGGAGTGTGTGTCCCCACAACTACGGTGTGGGAGTGCGTGTACCAGCCTCTTAAAACCTGGAGCAGACACCTGGGCCATGTTCTTTTACCACAAAGCCCCAGTTAATCATTGCAATACCTCATTCTAAACATGTTTTTCTACCGCTAAAGCATTTTTCCTGCAAGCGATACAGTTCTTTACACGTATTTTGTCCGCAAGAGAGAAAAAACATGATAAGTGTTTGCAAAGACCATGTGAATTGAAAGATTTTGTGCACAAGACAGTTGCTGAGGGTTTTTACAACTGTTTTGCCATAAACATAAGCCAGGCTGTTCATGGAAGTTCAGTGAGATATACTACAAACAATTGGTTATGAACTGTGACTAAATGCTTTTAAACACTTTTTGTACTACACGTTCAAACAGCTCTGTGTAGGTCGTCTCTGTCTATCAAAACAGTTGGTTTAAAGTCCACTGCTCTAGAGAGAGGAGGTCCATCCCGTGTGATTTTTAAGACCAGCAGGATCTTTTGCGGAGTGAATTAACAAGGGTACAGTTAATGCATCTGGATTAAGAAGAGGTGCAGTGGGCTGAGAAGTAAATAAATAGTTATTGCCCCCAGTTACTTGTGAGCTTTCTCGATATAAGAAAAATGAGTTCTTGATTCTTTTTCTGTAGATGACTTTTGCTGACAAAAACCAGATGTGTGAGTATGATATGACAGGGATGAGTAATGCTGGACTGTTGCCAAAAAAAAAAAAAGAAAATTTGAGCAGAATTACGCCCCCAACTGTTTCTATAAATCTTTGGTCGTGGAGATGTGGTTCAATTCACAGGTCATTCCCAAATCACAGCTCTCTGATTAATATCTTAGTCATTTTCTTTGAGGAACATGCAGCTGGCGATGCCGCTCTCTCTCCCTCTACTTCAGCCTCAGCATTCCTTATTGATTACTAAGCTGATTAAATATTTACTCCAAGGGGTCTTTTGTCATTGTAATGCATCAGGTATCGCCATGACGATGGAGGAGCATCACCCTGGATGAGAGATCGCGTGACCCCTGTCCATTCAGATGCTGGCCTCATCCTCATCTTCCCTCAGTATCCTCGTCCTCCTGTGGTGTCAGTGACGAGGAGCAATTGCCAACTGCAAAAGGTAAAAAATACAAACAAAAACCCCCCAAACCCCCCATGAAATAGGTCACCCACTGATTATTTATCTCTCCGAGGATGTTGTCATTTGTTGCCATGACGCATGCTAAAAGCGAAAATTACTCGTTAAGTGTGTCATCATCGCGCCCGCTGATGACGGGCATATTTGGCCAAGCTGTCACCAGGACAAGAGGCTGAGATGGCACACGAGCTGCAGAGGGACACAGAGAGAGAGATAAAGGCAGACAGGGAACAGGATGGGGGGGGTGGAGAAGACGAGGAAGTAATTGTTTTCTGACAGATTTTTATCAGATTGGGAGAAAAGGGGTGTCCGTGTCTCTCTGTATGGGCGCTGTGAATGGACTTTCCATGCGCTCCATCTTACCGCAAATATTTGACAGTAATTAAGGGGTCTGCACATGGACAAGTGGGCTTGTCAGAAGGGGAAGTGTCTGTGCCGCCCATGTGGGAAGAGAAATGATACTAAAGGGGGGGGGAGCTTAAATGAGGCCATTTTGTGGGTGTGTGTCGACGGAGTGCGGGCCCGCAAACGTGGTGATGATTAGGGAGTGTTTGTGACCCGGGCGCCAAGCTCATTTTTTTTTTTGAGAGAGAGAGAGGGTATGCCATGGGAAGGCAGTTTTTTTCTTTGTTGGGATGGATGTTTACTTTCATTCCTTGAGATGCAGGGCACAGAGGGTAGGGGGCTTTGGACAGCATTGACGGGATGTGTTTTAATGGGGACTTATTGATGGAGTAGGGCTGTGTGTCACTGAGCAGGGCTACTCGACTGATGGTGGAAATGTATACTTTCAGCTCATCCGTCTCCAACACTAGATTGGAGGGGGATGCTGTATTGCATATTAATGTCTACATGTATGTTTCTGCTGTAGTTTGAATGACTTGTGGTTTGAGGAGTGTTATGAGTGTCCTGAACGTGTTAAAGGTTTCATGGAAATGGAAATAGATTATGCCCTAACTGAGATGCCTTTTTACGAACTTGTGCATTTTTAGTCTTCTGTGTACATTTACATGTACACTGTACATGTTGTATATTTCTGTAGACATTTGCAACCTACACAAAATGGATTACAGGATATGGAAAGGTGGCCGTTTGAAACTAGAAGAAAAAAGTGCCTCACGGTCACAGTTACCATTGCATAAAAGAGGGATGGGCAAGGGGAGCTAGGGTGCTCCACATGAAGACTGTGTTCAGAAGTTGGAGAATGAATTCCAAAGAAATTCATTGGTAACAGGCAGCCTTTCAGGTGGTCTAATTAGGGATATCAAAATGAATCTCCATATTGGGAATAATATCAAAAATATTTAAAGCAAGGCAGGTCGTCAACAAAATAAATCTCCAGTTTGGAGTTACGTGGTTGTTATACTTGCTTTGAAATTATAAGGGCAAAACAGTGGCAAAGGTTGCCTGTGACTTACATGGGGAATATTGGATGTATTGAATACACTTGATATTGGATTTTTTTATATTTTGATTGTCAACAAATCTGGTTTCTACAGACCCTAGGTCCAATTTCCATTACTCACAACTTACCACCCCCAAAAAGCCTCTCACCCTGAAATTAGCATGAACATATAAAAACCACTTGCAACCCCAGATGAGCTCAGGCTACCGTTACAGGAAAACTGGAGAGTCTTCACAAGAAGCATTTCTATCACATCGGTAGTATAGATTAAAAAAAAAAGGACACTGTGAAATGTAGTTGTCAATTGGATGGGTAATAATCTGTTCTAATTGGATCCAGTCACACCTGGGACCATTGGAGGCAGCTTCATATTGTCCCTTTTGGAGTCTGTCCTACTGCACACATGTGCATGTATCTCGTCTTGATGAATGATTTTTTTCTGAATCAATGAATAGTTGCCATCGAGGCATGTTCATTTGTTGTAAATGATAAATAGTGGATGTAATGTATTAATTATGCCTCAGCCAATAATAAAATTGTAAGTGTATTAAATATGTATCATCATTTGGCAGTACACCCGCCCATTAACATGTCTGGAAAGCAAGGTACATGTACATCTACATGTACATGTTCTTCACTTATTGTAAGCATTACTTGGTTTCCTCTGTGGATGGTTTGCTAAAGATAGGTTTCTAAGTTTTGTCTCTCTAATTGGACTAGTTCTCAATTTAAGTTCTTGTTAGGTTTGCCCAACCTTGACGGACTCCATACATGTCTGTTTCTGCACAGTTTGCTCCAGCTCCGTCATTGTTAAAACTGCAGCCAAATACAATGCATTGACCAGTGCTTTTCAAAAAGAAAAAAAAAAGAAAGCTAATTCCATGCTATAAACGTACTACATGTACATCTTAAGTCACATGTCTGAGAAGATGCTCATCATTGCTTATGTGTACATGTAGGTTGCAGTATGGGGTCACGCGGCATGCACACCTGCCTGTACATGTGTGTGTGTTCTTTTAAAAATAATAATTTATCCATTTAAAAAGTGCAAAGGGTCAAAGGGGTACAAGGGTGCCTCAGGCAGCCCCCAATGACCTGCACCTGCCCAAGCAGCACCTCCAGAGATTGTGTCAATTTCACGCTGTTTACCCTGTATGTGGCAGGCCTACCTGCGTGTTTTGCTCCGTGGACAGTATGAACAGGCATGTTGTGTCAGAAAATGACTGGGTATATACTTGTACATGTAATAGCCTTGTATTTATTTCATAGTTAGTTTGCACTGAGAGTAGTGATTGAATTTCCCCCAGAATTACAGACGGCAAATACATGTATACTGTCTCTCTCAATATCCACTTGTGTTAAGAACAACCTGTATGCACACATACACTTGTACATGTATCTCAAGCTACGGCTCAGTCAATTCTAATTAATTCCTCAAATTTAATAAACCATCGGGGCTCCCCTTAAATCAATTGGCCTATTAGGCAATTAGTAAAGCATAACGAGGCTAATGCTCAGTCACTTGAAACAAAAGGATGAGGTGTTTAGCGATCGGCTGTGAGTCACATCCCCCTGGCGTGGGGGAATTGCCCCAGCAGCAGCGGCAGCAACGGATTGTACTTGTAGCTTGAGAATTAGAGCTCATTCTGCATTGAATGAGATGGGGGGGGAGGGAGAAGTTGGTGTGTGTACATACATGTACGTATACCGGTACATGCACACAGAGGCATGGGTTCATGACAGCACTGTGACGACTCCCCAGTCCCAGCATGCAGACCGGTTATTATTGTAATGACAGGGTGCCCTTACACTGACTCATTTGGAGCTAGGGCGGTCTCGGCGTCCGGAGGCATCTCTGGATTTTGCGTCTCATCTCATCGTCACACCGGGGCTCACAGTTGATCATTGCGAGGGACAGGGAAAGCCTTCCCAGAATGACGCATCGTGCGTACGTGTACATCAAATGAATACACGGTGTAGCTGCAGTCTCCCAACCCCCTCCCCTTTTGCCCCTTCCCCCGGCAACTGAAGTTGGTGCAGTCCTGTTTCTTGATTGCTAACAGGATTATGGAAAAACGGAGAAAGTCACGCGCATCACCAGGGTCCATTTTCGAGGAATCCATGTTATATGTACGCACAGTACAACTCGCATTACAATACTTGCAGCTGTGCAAGTGCTTATTCAATAAGAAATGAATTCATGGAAATTTCATTTTGTTACCTTGCCTCTAGTCTAGCATCAGAAAGTATGGCAAATAGGGGTTTCAAGGAAGGAACACTTCTGTATGAAATCCTGGGAGGAAATGTTATAAGGGTTGGCATTGTAGCCAGATTTTTCACCGAAGTAAGATTTTTTGGGGGTGTATTTTTTGTGGTATTAGTATATTGGTCAAAAATCTTGGTTGCAAAAGATTCAGTGTTACTGGTGGTATATTTTCATATTTGAGTTTTTTTATTGTTGATTTTTGTATTAATTCATGTATTTAATGTATTGCAAGTGATTGATCCACTGGTTCAGTCATGTTTTGTTGGTCAACTGACTGAGTTGAGTGACCAGCAGGTGTACTGTTTTTTTTTTTTTTTGGCATCCTTTTCTGTTAGTTACTTAGCCTATTGCATTTATTCTGTTTTTTTTTTTAATCTGAGGATAGTTTTGTTGCAATTTTTCATTAGTTGTTGAGAGGATGTATGAACTGGAGCTCACCGATAACTCCTCCATCTTCAGTTTCCCCACTTCGGTCATCTGGTGAGGCAATATGCTTTCCGAGTAATCACTGGCTCTTAACGCAATTTAAAGGTTCAGAGATACGGCCTGGCCAGCAGAGCCTCTCTCCTGAGACCGTGTGTTTTAAGTGCACTCTGCTCACACTGGATTGAGTCACTTGCACTGAAGCGAATGTAACCGGTTTCAAAGGAAATAATTTTTGTCTCGTGCAGCTGAGCAGCTGGGTAATTGGTCTCTCTCAATTTGAGGAATTAAGATTTCAAGATGGAGAACTCCTAAAAATGTTGATGTGCAAATGTAGCACTACTGGCAGTTCAATTGCTCTGAGCCTGAGGAAAAAAAATACATGTAGTATACATGTAGCAACCAATTGTGACGCCACATTCTTCTCAGTCCCAAGATCTAGAAACACCTCCATGGATAAAGCCTTCATAATTGCTGGTCCAAAGCTTTGGAACACAATACCATCAAATATTAGGTCACAGGACACAATATTATCATTCATGGAACACTTAAAAAAGCATCTTTTTCCAGTATAGTTTCATTATCATGTGTTGCGCAGTGCCATGATCTAGATGGAATGGCGCTATATAAATCTTGCTATTACTATTATTAGTAGTAGTAGGTGATCTAAATTGTGGTGGAATCAGTGACAGAGTTTTTGAAGTGAAATTTTTTCGTACCTTATTGGGGCTGGTGATTCGAGTGATAGTAGGCATTGATATGCACATTTGGTGGATTGTTGGTTTTAACACTGGGTGGGGGGATGCTGCAAAGCTGGCCTCTAATGTGTCGACAGCATGCGTAAGTCCAGATTCAATTTGATGCCATAAGCCAGCCTGTCTTTGGGTG